CTTTAAAATTAGATTCGAGAAAATGTACTTACAATTACGAGTAATCTTTAGACTAGTCTTAAAAGTTATATTTTCATACTTTAATATAAATTTAAAGCTTAAAAAATAGTGTAGATCAAGTAGATGTATAAAAACTTGAATAACTTAAAAATTGATGTTCCAAAAATGCGTTACAAGATACACTATTTCCAAAACTTGAAATCTATTTTTTTTCTCAAGTCTCAATTTGAGGATATTTGGGCATCAAAACAACCTCTTATAATGAAATTTTTGAGGTAGGCTCTAATTTGATTTTTTAGAGCCAAGGCTCTATATAAACTTTTCACTTAGGGACCATCCGTTTTGTCTTTTTTCTGATATATTTGGGAAGAGGTCTTTTGAAACCCATAGAGGACAATTAGCCTTTTTGTTAAATAAAATAGTTTAAAACAATTTATTTATTTATTTTAATATTTTTGAATATGGTATAAGTCTATTTTTATAGTGTAGACCTTATGGTCTACACTGCATTTGCACTATGTTTGACCTTACAAGAGGGTAGCATCTCCGACAACCTTACGTAGGACGCATTTTGCCAGTGTAGACCTTTGCACCACCAATTTTTACAAAAGCATTGTTTTAAGAAGATGCTTCCTCTCCGTACGTGGCAACCCAACAAATTTCATTATATGTAATTAAGACACCTTTATAAAATGTATTAAAATTTTATAAGAGTCTCCCTCTTAATCGTTCCATAAGTCCGTCATCGCGTTGTCCTCCCCTTCTTATGCCATGATTGGTTTTTTTTTATAAATAAGGTTGGCCATCTTCTTCATTGCCTCATGGCAAATAAAATTGGTCCTCCATAAAGCAACTGCAACCTGTACACAAATATTAATCTAAGTGGAAAGTGGGTCCTCCAAGTATTTTTAGTGGAATTACTCTATTCAGGTTCAGTATGACAAGCTACTTGGTCGATCTCGATCTTCATATTTTTTATCTCCGTATTCAAGGTTTTATAACAGGAATTCAGGGTTGATGCGTAAGTAACGCAAGTGTCTTGTTATGTAAGCGACCTCATTGTCTCGAAGAATAATTATTTTATTAAAATTGTGATATTTTATCTAATGTTAGGAGTTCTAAATGCTGTAAATTATTAGAAATAAATTTATTTTTCCTATCTATTGTTCAGAATTTTAGATACTGTAATTTATTAGAAATAAATGTGATATTTTTGTTTTTAGTAAAATTATGAGATTTCCTCCTACTGTTTTGAATATTTAGACATTGTAAAATTCATATGCAAATGAATGCCGCATCATTTGAAAAGCTGATATTTATGCACTTGATTGTAGTATTTTGCCTATGAAATGATTATTTACGAATTGACAACTTCATAAATTGTGACAATTCCGTATTTAATTTTGGATTCTCATAAAAGTTCGTCTATTGATACTAGATCGTTATCATGTTAGATTTTAAAAATGTCCTTCAGAACTACTGCCTTTCAAAAATTATTGTACAAAATGTTTAAATGGCTACTTAGAGATATTTCAATGGAAGTGATTATTATTAAATTGCTTCGAGTGAATTCATGTTAATGTTTTCAATGATACTTTGCATATATGATATTGTTGCTTTATGATGTTTAAAGAGTTTCAGAGATAATTTGAGTATAAATGGAGCTGCAGGGATCGTTAGGACCTATCCGGTTATGCCGGTAGGGACTATTTGGACTGATCCAGGATTCTGGTGAGGTATGATCGGACCTGCAGAGATTGTTAGGACCCATCCGGTTACGCAAGTAGGGACTATTTGGACTCATCCGGGATACCGGTGATGTATGTTTGGACCTGCAGGGATTGTTTAGATCTATCTGGTAGGAACTATTTAGACTCATCCGATACGTCAGTGATGTATGTTTGGATCTGTAGGGATTGTTTGGACCCATCAGGACGCTGGTGGGGTATATAGGTCACCTACTTGGGACGCCAGTATGGGCATTTTATGAAATCCTTTGAATTATGCATTTCTGTTAAAATGTTTATATGCATTTTAATTATTTGGATTATGTTTAACGATATATTTGTGAAAGTGCAATTGTTATCTATAAATGCTTTTGCTTGCAATTCTTCCTCAAGTTGTTTTTAACATACATTCT